GAGGGGGATCTTGTTAATGTGCAGAAATACCTGATTGGAGGGAGTAAAAAGACAGCTAGGCTCTTCTTGGTGGTGCCCAGTGAAAAGACAAGAGGCAGTAGGCACAGAAGGATATACAGGGAATTCTGTTTAAACGTAAGTAAAGACTTTTTTACTGTAAGGGTGATTGAATGCTAGAACTGATTGCCCAGATGATCTGTGAAGTCCCCATCCTCGGAGATAACCAAAGCTGACTGGACAAGGTCCTGAATAACCTTTTCTAGTTGACACTGCTTTGGGCAGAGGGGTCGGAGCAAATGATCTCCAGAAGTTCCTTTCAACCTCAACTATTTGGTGATTCTGAAATTAAATGCGTTTATAAGCTGGAGAGGGGCTTTGGACAAGGGTGTGTGATGACAGGACAAGGGGCAATGGATTTAAACTGAAGGAGGGGAGATTTAGATTGGATATAAGGAAGAAATTTTTTTCATTGAGGGTGGTGAGGCACTGGAACAGGTTGCCCAGAGAAGTTGTGGATGCCCCATCCCTGGAAGTGTTCAAGGCCAGGTTGGATGAGGCTTTGGGCAACCTGGTGTAGTGGAGGGTTTCCCTGCCCATGGCAGGGGGGTTGGAACTAGATGATCTTTGAGGTCCCTTCCAACCCGAACCATTCTATGATTCTATAAATACCGAAAAAAACACCTAGTAGCAGTCAACATATATGTTCATATGTTATGTATTTATGCTGTTGCCAAATGGAAATGGATTTTTGCCTTTCAGTTTTTAGAGAGTGTTTGAGCTTCATTTTCTTCGTTTGGCAAAGAGTATGTCCAGTATCGTTCAGTTTCTTTCAAGTACCATGTTGAAACTGATTCTCGCCTTACTAGTCAGCAGTCTAGTTTGTTGTGTTTCCTTCTTCTTCGCAACCTTCTTTTGGATTTGAAGTAGCTTTTAATTCTTCAAGATTGTCTGTCATGTAGTGTCTCTTCAGGTATTTTTCCATCCTTGTTTTTGTGGCAGGTTAATTCTGTTGCTGATCTTTCTGCCAGGTATATTTATTGGTTGCATCAGTAAATAATTTCCCTGTCCACTAGCAGGAGAAGAAATTAGGTGGTGCACCTCACAGAAAGGCTGTGGAACCACACACGGTGTCTGAGGTCAGATTGCACTAAAACCCCTGTGTCTCTATCAGCTGACAAATCTAGTTAGAAGTGGGTTGGGCTTTATTCCTAAAGTGGCACTTACACAAAAATAGTTTCAGAGAGACTGATTCTTTGTGACTTCTCAGGGTTCCTGGCAAGTTCTTTGTAGCCCCTGCTTGTTCTCGTTTAGTTTAATATCTAGCAGCTTCTGTTTGGGTGGCCAGCAGCAAAGACAAATGCTGTTTGCATCAGCCGCCTTCTTGAGCACGAGCTACTTGTGTATTGACATTGACAGTTCTTGTATTTTGGAAAGTGCAAGTTGTTCTTAATGTTGAGTTGTGTCCTGGTTTCAACTGGGACAGAGTTAATTTTTCTTTTTAGCAGCTAGAATAGTTTTGTGTTTTGGATTTAGTATGGGATTTGTTATGAGAAAAATGTTGATAGTGCACTGATGTTTATAGCTGGTGCTGAGACTTTAAGGACCTTTTCCCATGTTTGGCCAGTGTGCAGAAACACAACAGGCTGGGGAGGAGCATAGCTGGAACAACGGACCCACAATTTCTAGCTTATGATTTAAATTTAGATTTAGGATTGAGGGCCAAATTGGCCAATAGAATACTCTATATCATGCAGCATCGTGCCCTGTATTAGTTGAGGGTTGACTGGGAAGTTGGAATTCTCCGTCTCTTCTCAGACTCTCGTCTTGGTCTCTCAGAGTTTTGTATCTCTCTCGCTCTCTTTCTGGGCCTCTCACTTATCTGGGATTGCAATGTTGGGACTTATCTGTTTCAGGATCACTTGCCGGGCTGGGCCAGGCATATGTCACGGAGTGGTGAGCAATTACACTGTACATCACTTGTTTGTATATAATATATATTGTATATATTATTGTAATTTTCAAAAAATTCTATTATTATTGTTGATGTTGTTATTTTTATCGTTATTATCGTCATCATAAAATTATTCTTATCTCAACCCACAAGTCTCCTTCCTTGTTCCTCTTTGATTCTCTTCCCCATCTCCCAGGGATGAGGGAGGGTGAGCGAGCAGCTGTGTGGTGTTTAGCTGCTGGCCGGGTTAAACCACGACAACTCGACATACTGTGAAAAGATCTGTAATCCTCTTAGAGCCTTCCTCACTAGTTGTAGGTGAAATAAAGAAACATGCCTATTCCTTATTTCCATGTCATCACCAGGGCTTACTTCCTTTGTCTTTGTCACAGTCTATTCCTGTAGTCTTTATTTTTTCATCATTCAGGCATTTATATAAGGGATTCCTCTTTCTTTGTCAGCATCTAGCCAGTGTGTTTTCCATCAAGGTCCAAGGGGATGGTTGTATCTTCTGCTGCTCCACATCCTCCTTTCAGGACTGCTTGGAGATGGGTGATGCGTTAGTTGTTTTAAGAGAGAAGCATTATGTGCCATGCTGTGATGGTCAGAGAGCACTTCAAAATCAAGTAGCTCTTTTTCCCACTTTTATCTTCAAATTAGAACAGGTGCATACCATCTTGACTGTTGTCTGTCTTCCGTGAAGATCTTTATTTTGGTTAGCATGTTGATCTAACAGTTTGCCATCATTTTATCTCTATGAAGTTTCTGTTTTGTCTATTTTCAGAAAGCTCAACAGTACAGAATTTCAGTAAGAGGTTTGCTTTTGCAGCAGCTGCTTCCAAAAACGTAGAGTTGATGTCAGGTGAAAGTAGAGATCACACAGATGCAAAATACACTGATCGAGCAGGTTTAATGCTGAGCAGTTCTGTTCATTTATATGGCTGGTCAGCATAGAGATGTTGCACCCAGGAGATGTTACTAGACAGCATATTCTCTGTAAACTTACTGTCTATTTTTTAACTGACTTCAGAAGGAGACTTTCTGTTTTCTGAATAATGATTCTTCTTTCAAACTTCCCTAAAGACAGCTGACAGTTACCCACATGTGTGGCTGTGACTTGTGATAAACTTTTTTCAAACAGCGTTATGAGTGAACAGGCAGTCCTTACAAAAGGTTTGCTATTTGACGTTCTTTCACTATCTAATCCAAAGACTTCTGCACTTCTTCATTACAACTCTGCGTTTCTCCTTGGCATCCTGGCTTTCTTCTGTTTTACCTCTGCCACTGCATCATACAGATTTTCTGGGAGTCACATGTGTCATCAGCTATGTAGGCGAAGCTACTTTTCTTTCTAACTATCTGTAAGATTCTGCAACAAACGAAAATGATGCAATTCTTCATTATTTTCGCTCCTGTTTCCGTTCCCATTGTACAGTCCCAGTCCTGCAGTGGAAATTTAAAGCGTTCTTATGAGGTGCATCCATTATATCCTCTCCTGAGGACAAGGGTTTTTTGCATCCTTTGATGTCAATTGCTCCTAATTGTGGATTTGGGGGTATTAGAAACTTTATTTGAGGGTTATTCAACATAGTTCTTTTCTGCCACCCTGTAAATTCCTAACCCTTGAGTGCATTATATCATATGAGTAGGGGGGTTTATAGCAGTTGTTTTCTGGTACCATGGAGGAGAGGAGAATGATGACCCATTAACAATTTAAATGCTTTGATCTGCAACTGCAGAATCAGACTTTTGATGTTAGTAGCCATAATTTTAGTTTCACAGATTGAAAATTGATTTGTCTCGGATCTTCATTATGCCTGACTTTCATATCTCAAGAGTTTAGAGAAAATTTATCTGTGGTGATTCAAGGCACGTGCTAATACAAGGACATAGCCCTTGGGATAGAAACCTTTGGTTCTTCAGCTTTGTCGATCTGTGTGAAACTGATGCATGGAAAACCCAATCTACCTATTGATATGAAGCCCTCTAGGGTCCTTGTACCTGTTTGCAATGACTTTGCACCCTTATAGTTTGAGAGTGTTGGAGATCTGATGAGATACACTATTGATGATCTTCAGGACCGGGGACATTCCAAGAATCATAGAATCGTTTAGGTTGAAAAAGACCTGTAAGATCATCAAGTCCAACCATGAGCCTAACACTGCCAAGTCCACCACTAAACCATATCCCTAAGCATCACCTCTACACATCTTTTAAATACCTCCAGGGATGGCGACTCAACCACTTCCCTGGACAGCCTGTTCCAATGCCTTGACCACCCTTTTGGTGAAGAAATTTTTCCTAATATCCTATCTAAATCTCCTCTGGCACAACTTGAGGCTGTTTCCTTTTGTCCTATGGCTTGTTACTTTGGAGAAGAGACTGACACTCACCTCGCTACAACCTCCTTTGCGGTAGTTGTAGAGTGATAAGGACTCCCCTCAGCCTTCTTTTTCCAGGCTAAACAGCTACAGTTCCCTCAGCCGCTTCTCATAAGACTTGTGCTCTAGACCCTTCACCAGTTTTGTTGCTCTTCTTTGGACACGCTCCAGAACCTCAATGTCTTTCTTGTAGTGAGGGGCCCAAAACTGAACACAGCATTTGAGGTCCAGCCTCATCAGTGACGAGTACAGGGGCACAATCACTTCCCTAGTCCTATGGGATTTCTGATACAAGCCAGGATGGTATTGGCATTCTTGGCCACCTGGGCACACTGCTGGCTCATATTCAGTCAGCTGTTGACCAACACCCCCAGGTCTTTTTCCACCAGGCAGCTTTCTGGCCACTCTTCCCCAGGCCTGTAGCGTTGCATGAGGTTGTGGTGACCCAAGTGCAGGACCCAGCACCTAGCCTTGTTGAACCTCATACAGTTGGCCTCAGCCCATCGATCCAACCTGTCCAGATCCCTCTGTAGAGCCTTCCTACCCTCAAGCAGATGAACACAAGTTGTTAATCAACAAGAAAGTTGTATTTACCTCAGGCACTGAAAAAATTGAAAAAAAGCACGCCATAGGCATTTGATCTTTGGCTTCCAAACTGGATGGAGTCTGATGGAGACCCTGGGCATGCTCTCTATTTTGTGTTTGTATATGCTGTTCTAGGCATCTTTGATACCTCTGATTCTAGCAGTCCTCAAGTCCAAAAGGAAACAATGATCTTGATGCTGACTGAAGCTGTCTTGATATCAAGAACTGCTGTTGAGGGTTTTACTGGCACTTTTACTCTCCAAATTTGCTAACGAAATGTTGAGACTAAGTGTCCCACTGTTAACACATCTCCTGATTTCGCTGTCACTATCTTGATGCAACCAATGTTTTTGGAATGGATTCTCGTGATTGATAAGGAGACCAAAGCAGCTACTGTCTTGATGCAAATTCTGTGGTCTTTGAGCTGCATGAAGGTCTGTTGTGACACAGCTCCCTGTTGTCATAGGATGTGACATTTATCATCTTGCAAAGCAGCGTCACTGTTTTTAACATGGGTCAGATATTCCTGGGAACACTAGCCACTGCACTGATGCTCTATCAAGCACTGATCTGGAGCAGATGTAGTGCTTGATAGAGCAGACTTGTGGTTGCCTTTTGCAATAAGGGTTTGGAGACCCATTTCCAAGAAGAAGTGACTGGAGATTTATTGCTATTTATGCTCATGGTGTGAGCGTACCAATTGACTCTTTAGTAACTGGAAGTGCGTCACGTATTTGGTGTGTCTACTCACTTGTGTTCAATCTGGCTTCAGACTTCTGTCTGGAATGCTGCTGCATGTGAGGAAGAACTGAAATGGCGATAGATACACTTTGTACGTTTATACATGCTCTACTTGGAAGACTAGGGCTTGAGTACGCTCTAGACTTGGTTAACAGTTTTTTTTTTATAATACTGATGTAACTGGATATGTAGGTTATCAAGTTCTATTATTGACAGTTAACCTCCTTATTTCTAAGTGGTGTTGAGCCTAAGGTTTGTTTTTTCTCTTGCAACTGACATTTGTGGGTTTGGATGGAAGGAAAATGAAGATGGACAGGAGCAAGTTACTTCTGCATCAGATTGGTTTGTCTGTTTCTTGTGTGATGGAGCAGGATTCCATAAATACATTGATCTCCGTTATAAGATTTTCTTTAGAGCTCCTTGATAGGGCGTAGTGGCCTTAAATACTTTTTCTTTTCAGAAAAGGCTCTCTCTCTTTCAGTTACTGCACTAAATCGAAGCTCCATGAAGCCATCAGATATATCTGCCATCCTGGGAACAGGAGGGAGATCTCCTCTGATTCTACCAACTCCTGGACTTCTCGGCAATCTCTCAATGGTAAGATGGTTAGAGCACCTTTCTCTCTTTTGTTCCTGTGAAACTTGTAAGAAACTACAGGTTTACAGTGTTTCAGTGTTATTTGCACCAAGGACAAAATGTGGGTGGTACAAGCTTGATATTCCTACTATTGCTGCTTCCTGCTGGTGTTCTTTATTACTGTGGTGTTCTTTGCGATGATGCAGCGATGTGTGTTAAGCTAGTCCTTGTAACGTCAGCCTGCGACTACAAAAATCTTGGCTTTGCTTGTCAACAAATTCTTCAAAGACAATTGTTCTATGTCAGCAAGATAAACCTTCAGAATTTTTCTTATTTTGGCACTCTCCAGTATTAGGCTTCACTTGGATGTTAAAGCTTGGACTTCAAAGGACAAGTTCTTCTGATGACTTTTCAGATGACGTTAATTAACTTCTACTTTAACATCTTTGGAAAAACACTGATTAAAAAAGTTATGAGTAGGGACATCTGAAGTATTTTATCTCCGTTTATTTTTAAATTAACTCACAACAAATTAAGATGTCTTTCTGTATGTGCATTTTAATTCATTCTCCCTTCAGGTTGTTTCTATAGTTTGTTACAGCCCATTTGTTTAGATTACCAGGTTCTGAGGCCTAGTTGATCAACATGTGTACAGCTCTCAGCAGTGACACTTTTCCACTGATTCAGAGTCTCTTGTCGTTCAATAGCCAGCGTTTTGCGAGTGGAGTACATTTTAGGTTAACGTTTAGAGCTCTGACTTGAATCCAGTTTAGATTAGCAGGGGGAAACTTGGGACTAGACAAAGGCTTTCACAGGATGGTGATGGAAAAAGGACTTAAAATAAAGTCTTGTGGAAATTTACTTGCTACTAGATAAGAACACTCATCAGCCCTTTTAGTATTTCCCACAGAGACCTGATATGATTTTACTGGAACTGAGTTTCTGGTTATTTTTATTCTACCGTCGGAGTGCTATAACATTCTGCTCTGGTTGGCTAGAGGGTAATAACGACAGAACTCGGGCAAGGGGAGTACTGTGGGTAGAAACTGGGACATAAAAGGAAGAATAACAGGTATCCGTTCGCAGTTTTTGGATATGCTGAAGAGACTGCTACAGCAGTGTCATCTGGTTCCCTGTTTGTACTTGTTTGGGTGGGACCATTTTAAGAGTCTGAAAGAAGAATCAAACGGTGGCACATCTCTGGGTCTTTGTGTAGCGTTGGTTGCTGCTGAGAAGACAATTGCTGTCATGGGAACAGCTATAGGAAGCTGTCCTGTCAGTGCAGCTTATATACAGTCTATCTTCTGTTTTGGCCGTTTTGCTGCTCTGGTGTCAGATATGTACCTCCCCTGAAGTTGTCCCCAAAAAGTACCGGTATGTTGTTATTTCCCCCTTTAACATTGTGATACTTAATTATTTTAAACTTGTATTGCTTCATTCATTTAAATTATTTTGAGTAATTCACCAAGAAGGTTAAAAGACTGGTAAATGGTTGCAATTCAAATTTTAACTATTTTGTTTAACTTTTCACAGCTGCTTTACAACCTAGTCAGTGTTATTCTGTCTTTTTTTACTTTGAACAACAAAATACTAAGTAAACATTTAGCATAATGTAATATAAAAGTTTAGAGAAATGTATTTGGTTTAAGATGAAAAGTGATGCATGGCGTTTTAAAGTAGACGGTCTTATTAGATTAGCTTCTACTTTAGTTATTTCCTAAAAATACCCAAACTATTTAGAATTTCCTTTTTTCAGATTAAAATTTATCTTTTCAGAGCTGTTTGATAAAGGCATAGTTGCCCCTTATATAAAGGCAGTTATTTCACTGTTAATTTTTAGAATTGCTTTGTTTATGTCATTCGTATAGAATGCAAAGACTTAGAGCTAGGCTTATAATAGTCTGAGATTGCTGTTTATTTTCCTTATGTTCTTGTTATGCTTGTAGTTGGATGAAAGTAACTGGACAATGGCACTCTCACCTCAGCAGACAGGAATGTTTGTAAACCTAGACATGTCCAATATGACAGAAGATGTCACTATGAGCGCTGTACTGTTGCGTGAGGATGATCCTGGGGAAGCTGGTGAGACAGTCTGAAGTTTTTATAATAATTGACCACATTTATTTGTGGGATATAATTACATATGTACTTTTTTTTTCCTGTATTATTTTGCTGAGATATTTCTTTGTCAAAAAACATCTAGTTTTAAAAGTTCAGAAGGTTATCTCCTCCATTTATTGGAGTTTTGAGAGTTTGTGTCTTCTGTAGAACCTGATGGCACAAATGAGATGCTCTGGTGATGTAAGATGCAAACTGGATTAGTTTTGTGGAGATACACAAATGAATTTGTTGTTAAAAGTTTCTCAGATTACATGTTTACAGTAAAAGTTTTTAAATTATCTGACTTACATTGTAGCTTCTGTGTATCTTAATATCTCTGCTGATAAGTTCTTCTGACTTTATAGAATATAAATAGTTGGTATCGTCATTGTCCTCATTTAGATTTACAAAAGACGAGATGCCTTGTCACCAGAAGGATTTTTTTGTAGCTTGTTGAGGTTTTTTTATGAAGTTGTATCTGACTAATATGGCCGTTTCTTCTTAAATTTGTTCTAGCTACCATGAGCATGTACTCAGATTTTCTGCATTCCTTCCTGAAGCATACATCAACTACCATTTTTGATCTTGTGGATGAGTATGAGAGTATTTGTAACAGTCAGGTAAGTAGTTTGTTTATTTATTTACTTTATTTTACAGTTTCTTCCCTAAGTAGTATTGCTATTTTTCTTCAAGCTGAGAAGTCACGGTGCATAACATAGATAATTTAAATTTTCCAGCTGGTTGCAGTCTTATGAGTCACTGAACACTAGCATTGAATAGCATCTCTCTTTCCTCATGCATTACGTTGGCACAGGAATACCCATTGTGTAGCTTGCTGAATACTAAAAGTGTCATCTGGCTGCTATTCCACTGCAAGTTTCAAGTGACAAGAAACATGAGCAGATGTATAGATTTTTTGTTAATAAGATGGATTAAAAAGAACTTATTTCTCTTGGATATAAATAAATAAAATCATTGGATTATGATGCTTTAAGGGCTTTCTGCTGCAGTATTAACAAGCTGGCAGTACGAGGCTCAATGTTAGATTTAAGGTGTCTCTGCTTTTAGACAGTTTTTTTATTTGATTGACTGTTGACTGACAATTTGGAATCAGCAGGGATTGACAGTTTGAAAGGAAGAAATTATGATGCTTCTGTCAATAAGTGTTGATCACAAAAGAGGGAGGTGGGCAGATAACTCTCTTTTAAAAGACTTCATACCTATGTCTATGTTAAGAAAATGCGTTCTTGGTAGAAGGTTGCTAGCCTGTTTTGTGCAAATTTGTTGTTGGGGCTGAGTTGGAGAACTCTGAGATCTTCAGTGAGGTGTGTACCACAGTTGTGTTCCCAAGTGGGAAGCAGACAAGAAGGAAAATAAACGTGAACTTAATTATTTTGTGAGATGGTGGAACTTCCGAGGTCTCTTGCGTTCCTCCTGTTTGAGAATATGGATATCATCTACAAGATCATGGAATACAGAGTGGTTAGTTTAAGCCGCTTGGAATTGTGAGGAGTTGATTGCGTGTTGCCAAGAACCTACAAAAGTAGAGTGAAGGATGTTGCTCCAAGGATTGGCTTGGATGTTGCTGACAGGGCTTGGGGTGGAGGTGGAGGGACAGCCTTGAGCTCTCATGCTGCCTCTTAGCTGTACCCTGAGATCAGTCCAGTGGCTTCTAGCAGCCCTGAACTCCTTTCATGTTTTCTGGGAGATAATAGAAGGGAACAGAAGATCATGCTCCTCTCTTGCATCGTGATGGTGCACTTTATTCTTTCCTCCAAATCTGTTGCTCACCTCCCACTTGGAAACTGGTGAATATATTGATGCCTGACAAATTGAGTACTCTTAAAATGTAAGAATTTGGGGCCGTTCTTAGAAGTAGTACGAGCTCTGGAACCACCTACAGATGGAGAAGACTTTGTTATCTAAGTTTTCTTCATAATAAAGGAAAAGAGAATAGAATTTCTTTTTGGTGATACTGTAAATTATGTGGTAACCAACAGTTTGGGTTTCCTCATTTACCAGAGCTGGCAAGAAAAAGGCATCTTTTAGGCATTGATAAGAACTGTCACAAATACCAGTAGGGTTGACTTTATGTTGCATATTGATGTATATGGAAACAAAGTTTGGGGGTTTGGTTTGGTTTTTTTTTTTCAGTGGTTGCCTCTTCTCCCTCCCTAAAAAGCACCTTTTGATGCTTTTTAATTCATCGACATAAACTGGTTTTATCCTGGGTTCGTACAGTGCCTTGCAAAGCAAAGCTGCTCTCTTGGTTTATGCCGTCTAGGCTGTGTTAATATTTTTTTTATAATAATTAAGAGAATTTATGGTGTGGTGTATCCATCTGCCTATTTTGAAGAGATGGTAATCAAATTTGGTTGTTGAGAGCATACAGGATAATGAAAGGATTGCTGTAATGGCTTAGAAAAAAAAATACAATGATAAGCAATATTAACTATGTATAAATTTGTTTACCTCAGGTGAATATACTAGGGAAAATAGTTTATCGAGCAACTCCTGGACAGCAAAAGTTTTCAAAAACTGCCAGTGTCTTGTGGCTTCTCAAGCAGGAGATGGTGACTTGGAGACTGTTGTCCTCGCTTTACAGGTAATTCCTTTGAAAAGCGTGTTACGCTTTTGAACTGAGCTGACTTTCTTGGATATATTATTTTATGAGTTTATAATATGGAGTGAAGCAACTAAGTACCTATTAATAATCTGTTTATGGAACTAGGTGCAGCTATATATGTCTATTATCTATTTACAGAAATTAAAGTTGTAAATGGACCTATTGTTATTTTGCAACTTATACTATTTTTTTAAAAGAACATTTTTCTTGAAGGTATTTTAAAGCACTTTGACTTATGCATTCTGCTGAATTTCCTCAGCTTTGTTTTAATCTTAAGGTTTTACACTTTTATTTCTAGAGACAGAATACAGTCTGCACTGGAAGATGAAACTGCATTTGATATCGCAGTAAGCTTGGACTTTTTTGGGTTTTTTTAAAGCTATATAATAAGCTAAATGCTTGTATTTTGTTTTTACAATCTCAATATTGCAGCCACTCAAAATTCAAAGGTGAAAGAATGTAAGCAAAAATGAGACCAATTTGATTTTTATTGTACTAAGTTATTTCATATATTGTGAAAAGTGAATTTAAATATTCAGTTCTAAATAGAAAATGCTAGTGTAAAAAATGTTATAAACTATGGTTTATGTTTTATTTCCTCCTTAAGTATTCGACATAAACTTGGAAGATCCATTAGAAATTACTGTTTATTTCTTATAAAAAGTAACATCAATAGTGGTGATGTTCCTGTAGGTCAGAGATAATTTTGCTTTGCCTAAAACAAGAACGTGTGGTTTCAAGCTGTCTGGCTTTTGTAGTCCTGATTCCAATTTATCTCAAGAGAAATCCAAATTTTTTAGCGTTCTTCTTTCAGCTGTAGTCTTCTTGTCTGTGTCAATACAGTGCTTCCAGCCTTTGCTTCCAGGATATGCTTAGGAAGACAAAACAAGAAAAGTGACTCTGCCTTTGTAAAATTTAGAATCGTGGTTGCTTTTATTTCAGTCATAAAACAGCTTCCTCTAGAATTCCCATTGCTAAGTTGTTCCTATTAAATTAAACGCTGTTGTGCTAAAAAAACGTCTTCTACCTGCGTTTTTTAGGAAAAGGCATCTTCTGTTCTCTTTTTGTTGCAAGTCTAATGAAAGCTAAATTATTTCAGGAGAGCAGATAAAGATCAGGGTTCTGGGGTTGTTTTTTTGTGTTTGGTGGTGGTTTTTTTTCACTTCATGCTAAGTGTGCATATGGTCTTGGAAAAAGTCACCTTTTTATGTATACGGTAATAAATAGGATTTAGGATAGTATGACTCTGGAATCAATGTATCTACTATGTAGCATCTTTCTGTGGTCATACATTTATGAATTATATTCTGAATCTCATTTTTACAGTTTTTAGTGTAACTGGATGTAAACAATCCTTGAAATGAAACAAATGTATAGTGTCATCCTTTTTAAAAAAGGGGTAGGGGACAGGTAACATACTGAACTTGTAGAAAGTTGATGAGTTAGTATGAGTTCCGTTTGGTATTCATGGTTTTGTGCAAGTTTTCTTTTCCGTTAAGTAATAATCAGCTTTTTCTTAAATAGGTTTTAACTGCTAGTGAAAAGACGAATGTAGACAACTTGTTTCAGAAAGACTCACTTGTTCGACAAAGCCAGGTACAATGGAATGTTTTTGAGATGAGAATGGAACTAGATCAGTAGACACTGAAATGGTTATAACACTAGTGCTCTATGCACTTTATTAAACTGTTTCTAATCCTTATTTCTTTATATTCACTACAGTGTCTTATCCTTTATGTGTCCAAAAAATTATGCTCTTTAGTTTCTAAAGATCAGAAATTTCTAATACTTCTTTATATTCACTGAAGTACGTTTTTTTTTTTTTTATACACGTAAAAATAATGCTCTCTGGTTTCTAAAGATCAGAAATGTTTTTCAGGCTAGCTTGGAGAGGATGGAAGGCTGAGGGCTATTCCCATTTGGAGCATCTGTTACTGTTGATGGTGATTAATAACCTTGTTAAGTAGCACTGTAGTAACCACAGCATCTAGTGAGAAATAGAGATCAAGTGCCTAAGCAACCTTCATATTGGATGCTTAAAGTGGAATAGTCTTCAGGATGTCTGTGCCTTTGGTTACCATGTAGATAACAAGTAGATCCAGAGATGAGAGGAAGGCAGTTAAAATATTGTTTGTTACATGTTATTTGTTTTAAAAATGCAATTTAATTTTATTCCAGCTGGTGGTAGATTGGCTAGAGAGCATTGCCAAGGATGAAATTGGGGACTTCTCCGATAATATTGAGTTTTACGCAAAATCTGTATATTGGTAAGTTCAGACTTACTTTGATTGTATGCATGCTCCCATCAGGTGTAAGATTCTCAGGCAGACACAGAATCACTCTTAAAAAGAAGAGGATTTTTTAAAGTTGTTCACTTCATTCACTTTTCTTTAAATTCTTAGATGTAAAAATTGAGATTTCTTACCTACTCACTGAAGTATGTCTTCTCAAAAGTCAGTTACTGCTTTTGGGAGGCGAGGATAGAAGGAAAACTATCAAAGCAACTTTATTTAATCTTAACCTGGATGCGGATTTGATTTTTCATAATAAGGCACAGTAAGAGATGTTTACCTGCTGATCAACCTGCTATTTATGCTGGATAAAAGCATTTTATTATGTGTTTCTCAAGAAGTGACTTGTTTGTCTGGCTTTAATTTTTGCCTGTAAAAGTTCTTGTCATCACTTTTGTGTGATTGACCCTTCACCAGAAGCTGTTATTGTCATCTTTGTTATCAATGATAGGTTTTAAGGCTGAAAATACTACAGCCTACCTTTGATCTTAGATGCCTAGAATAAACCTGCTTTTAGTGACCAGTGAGTACAGGCTTTTTGGAATCAGGTGTTCGTCCAAAGCTGAATTTCTATCCTAGATTGACTTTATAGTGAATGCTAATGGGAAATTTTGGTCATGCAGAAATCAGCTCATGGTTAAATACATGAATGATTGAAATAATGGATGCTTTTGAAAGAAATCAAAGATATGTGAATTGATTCTAATATTGTACTTCTTGTGAAATGTTGCATTTTCATGCACAACAGTAACACATTGATAAACCAACCAAACCAACTGTGTCTCTTCTGTAACCATATTCCATGTAACAAAAAATATCTTTCAATATTTGTGTCTTATTAAAAGATGCTTTAAAAAAAAAACAATACACATTTTTCTGAAAAACATTTCACTGCATTCAGGGAGAACACACTACATAGCCTGAAGCAGCGACAGTTGAGTACATACCTCGGAAGTTCACGAGCTCTGGTAACAGAGTTGGTAAGTATGATTGAAAAATAAAGTTTGGTTTCAGAATGGCTTAGAGAGAGCATATATGCTATTTTCACAGTCTTCCACCAATTTTTAGATGGCTGTACTATCCAAAAGTAGTTGTATTATCTAAAAATAGCAAAACATTTAAGTTGGAAAAGGAGAAGATTAGTACAGAAATTGTGAGGCAGGACACTTCTGGAGCTCCTTTTGGGATATGTGGTCTTCTGTTTTCTTTCCAGCAGTCATTTCCACACCCCCACCTCACCCCCATCGCAAGTACCTGTGGTCTAGTTGGTGAAGGAAATGGCTATATTGGTACTTTTTATGTCTGTAGCAAACTCATGTTCCTAACTAGAAAAGCTTATACAACTGTTTGGAAGCCCTTGCAGACAAGGGTGTTCTATCTTTATACTGTGACTAGTGTGATGAAACCAAGTCCCGATGGGATTCCTTGAGAGCTACTATAGTAAAAGCTAAAAGGAGGGAAGTCAAGGAAGGAAAGTACTGTCCAGTAGAAGGATTTAATGAACTGTCTCAGTGACAGCGAAGCAGTTGTAGAAGAGTAATTCAATTGAGGAGTGATCCGGGGTATTGATTGGCTTGAGAAGATCTGTTGGGATTAAATAGAAGCAAGTATAGCTGTTGTGAAAAGCCTTCTCAGTTAGAAGGTGGAGGAGGAGAAGCAGTCTGACAGGTAGAGAGGCAGAAGGCGAAAGAATGTTTGAACGTGTGAAGACCTGAAAGATGAGAAGTTTGGAACTAAAAAAACAAGGTGGTGGAGTAAATAAAGAAATTGCAATGGCTCCTTCTGATAGGAACGGTGACAGAAGAGGAGTAGAAGAAACGAGAGAGGAAAGACGGGGAAATATCATGCTAGATACTATGTGGGTTGTACCGATTGTTATGCCAATGTGAGAAAGTGATTCCAAATTATAAAAAAGGACAGGAAATCATTGGAAGAGACAGATAGGCATTGTGCGGATGGATGGTGAGGTTTTTTTCTTGCTCCAGGATCCAGATGCTCCTATAAGACAGAAACTGCCACTTGATGATTTGGATCGAGAAGATGATGCA